CGCAGGATGTAATGGCGAGGCAAATCTCAAAGAGACGGGACCAGCGCGACCAAAGCGATTTTACAATAACACCTCAAAGATGACTATCACCGCCGGGCATTCAAAAGTCAAACAATGCAGTCAAGGTTCATCGCAAATCAATCATTCGGATGCAGTAAGATAAATCATGGATAACGTTAATCGAAAGATCGTCCCTCGAGAGCTTTCCACTTTGAATATAAAACGCTAATTCCGGGGCGCCGGGATACGGCCGATCCCCAACCATCGACGGAGCAATAAAAGGATAAAGGCGAGGAGCTCGTCTGGAGGAGGCGGGGGCGTTGGTGGTGGCGGATGGCGGATAGGGTGAAGAGGGGGAGAGAGGGGGAGGGGTGGTGTGGAGGGGGAGATAACTGCCGGCTCATAATGCGCGATTCGCGAGTGTGTCCCGAAGAAAGACAGAGAGGATTCGCCGGATGCCCGCCCACAATTTCGGCTCCTTTGCGCGCATCCTTTGTGCCGCGTGAATAACTCCGGCCACGGATTCTCCGAAACTCCCTTTCGGGATGATTCGATTTCTGGCGCTATGCAACGGCCCAAGGATGAAATCCTCAGGCCTGTGTGCGTGCGCGCGAGCGACCGCGCGTTTGCTTGTTCACGTGCGCGGACAGGAGTTGAAATCGCAACAGACGCGGATCGTACTGCTATGGGTTATAGCGCGACACGAGCTCTTGTTCTTCCTTTTCATCCTTTTCTTTAAAGCCGGAGGACGCTTTACAAGAAAACTTCTTGCTTTGGGACGCTAAGCGTAGTTAATGTAATTCAAGCATTGGAAAATGTATTCCGTTGCGGCGGGAATTTAATGTTCGTTTAGGTATGTTGCGCGAGATTCCCTGGCTGTCGAGGAATTTTGTTTTGCACCAGTCGAGATAAATTTGTTAGGGAATTATGGGATATCATTGCTATTGTTATACACGGGGAGGAGATACTGAAAACAAGTCGCGACCGTAAAAATAAACATTCTCGAAGGTACTAAAGACGCCCGAAGCTCCTGGCACGACGATGAAATTGCAGCTTCCGATGTGTCTTGTACACCAAAGTATAATTTCTTAATGATTGCGCGTAGAAGAGAAAAGCAAGGTGACAACTTTCTCATGTGCGATAGTGCCGGTGTATGGGAATACTCTCTGTCTTTAAACTTGTTTCATTTTCTTAACAAGTTTGTAGTTTCATTTTAACCGACCGATAAATCTTTATTAAACAAACGCTTTATGCCAGCAGTTATGCGCAAGTATTTTAAGCTCACTGACTCTCAATTCGCGATTTGCATTGCAAATTTTGAATGACGTTTTCAAAGTAACGACCAAAATAATTGAAAACATTAATATTTTAACTCATTGAATGCAATATTCGTAATAAAAAAAAAAAAAGAAAAAAAATGCTTCTATTTAATTCTATAAGCTTCTCGTTACTTAATAGTTCGCTAATTCTTATTTACTATTCCCTCATATACGTTATCGTTTTTGTTTTATTTTTTTGTTTTTGTTTTTTTTTGTTTCACAAATAATTCTCTCCATAAAACGGCAAGAATTATGTCATACGATTTTTGGCACAAAGATGGAATTTATTTTGCTCGGCATGATCCATTTAACCGCAAAATTTTCTTAAAAACGCGATAATAAAATTTCTGCATCCCGAGTGCAGTTGCACTTAATTAGTCGAGTAAATTTTTTTAAATACCTTATTTATACACATTGTAATTGTAATGCGTAATTCAATTTGTTTTAGCGCAAATTTACATACGAAAAGATTATTTTTTTTTTTTTACCCGGCAGCATGCAAATGCAAATGTATTTACTAGCCCGTTAGAAATGCGTTCAGCCATAATCCGAAAGCATCTACGGGGACTTGAGCGTAATTTGCAAGGGTCCGCGTGACAAGCAATACGTAAGAAGTGAATTAAGGTAAGCATAAAAGCGGTTTCAACAATGCGTGAAACGAAAAGAACAGTTCAGTGCTCGTTTTTGTGTCTTATTCAGCGAGCAAAAGGCTCGAGTCGTCGTACCGTCATACACGCGCGCTCGCAGCGTAAAAACACGGGGGATCGAGGTTAAAAAAAAAATATATATATATATATATATATATATATATGACGGAGGGATGGTGTGCGGTGGTGGTTGGTGGGATTGGTGGGAGACTACGGCGATAAAAATTAATAAAAAGAAAAGTAACTGCGCGTCCGAGGGTCAAAACGTATATCCGACGTACGCACACATGGGCGAGTAGACGACGGGTTAGGAGAGAAATATAGAAATAGCCGCGGAGAAATGCATGTGGCGAGAGAGAGATAAATTAAGAATATATAGCACTTGTTAAGTCTGGGAATTACGAATTTTTAGTGAAGCTTTAAGTTTCAAGCTTAATTATTACTTCGGAGAATTGTGTAGCAGGAAGTTTCGGTAGATTTCATCTTCATCTACACGCTCCAGTCCTATTTCCAGTTTTTCCATTTTAATCTATTACGTACAATACACTCCAGCTTAGGGATGAATCCTTAAAAATTATAAATATTGGATGGACGTTTTTCTATATATGCCGATATTTTAAATGGCTTAAACCCTTAATTCGACAAATAGTAACGAGGAGTTTCATGTATTAATAGCATAATGTAGTAATAGAGGACAAAGTAATAGTAAAGTAAGGTAAAGGAGTAATGGAAGTACATTATGAGAAAGCAGACACGTTAAATGGACGGATTCGATATTTATGCAAACATTTGTAAATACGAGCATTGATACGTAACATACAAATGGAGTTACGAAATTGAAAAATCGCAATTTTTATCAATAAGTTCTTGTAAAATTTATTGAGGGGGGCGTAGGTTTTATTGGCAAACGCATGAAACGGGAGCGTAAAAATGCAATTTTACAAATACAGTGCGCGTATCGTTAACAACATTAAGCTCTAAAATTCGCAAAAAGCGCATCAATCGAAGCCGAGCGTCCCATCAATGTTATAGCACGAGATTCGCATCGTTCTCGTTAAGCTTGCGATATGGAATTTGGCGCTTGGGTCTCGTTTCCACGTCGACGAGCTTCGCGCAAAGTCAGGTTAAAATTAAGAGGTCGCAAGTAAAAACATCGGCCAGCGGCATAACGACCCTCGCCTACCCTTAACCCCAGGACCAAAATGACACTGCCGCTCGTTTTTGCTCCTCGCTGAGGAAGCATCGCTACCGCAAATTAATTCCTGAGCAGTTGCGCTGCACTCGGCGCATTTTTCTCTACCTGTGTACTAATATCCGCCTAACGATCGCTCGTTAAAATTTTGATGGGAGGGGGTGGGGGAAGGGGCGAGGGGCGATGGGCGCAAAGGACGAGTGGACGCTTTTTCACCCGAGCCCTGCCTATTGTACTTTTTCATTTTGACTGCCATTCACCGGTGTGGGTATTATTGACTGACATTCGTCGGCTCTGTGACGAAATCTCGATAATTCGCCGTTAGAGTGGCATGTATTTTCTAATAATTAATGTCGAGTGACAGGCACTTTATTAATGACGTTAAGTTTGTTAAATACTCGAGTACCTTAAGGCCTCCTTGCGATGTGAAAAGTCGCGCCCGACGATAAACGGATTTGACGACATGTCGAAAGGCAAAAAGATCTTAAGTTTTTAATTTACTGCATAAAAGGCATTACTTTTTGTGTCGTAATCCTTTACGAATCGTAAGTTTCCTTCAAATATCCCGTAATTATGTGGTTGTATTTAAATGTGCACGTTTCACTCTATTTTAAGAGTCAATCATGAAAGTGTGAAGAAAAAGCTCATTTATTTCATCCAACACAGAGGATTAGGTTTTAACTGTTCTTGGTGCATTGGAACAATGAATGCATTTAATGCTAACATGGCTATTATTTATCATTATTCTCGATTATTTTGTAATTTCTAATTTATCATTGCTTATTTGGAAAAAGGTAATGTTAATTGTGTGTCTTATTTAACGAGCAGAAACGAGTATTACGTGATTATTAGTTTATCGAATGTGTCGAGTGCATTGGCCAATGGCCTTGAGTCATTTGATGCGCTAGAAAATAACTTAATATCTTTGAGGGACAGCGAATAGTGGGAGGAATTTTTTTGCATATTTTTAGCATTACGATGTCTGCGTGCGTCATCTCGTATGATCAAAAAGCTTTCTCGAATCAATCAAAATACAACAAGGATTACCAATGTGAACCATCTTCTCCACCACTTCGTGCATACGTCACACCCCCCCCCCCCACCGCCCCCTCTCCCCCTCCCCCAATCACTAATCCACCAATCCTCAACCCCTCCACTCATTATCACATACACACACGCACACATCTTTTCCTCTATCTCAAAAGCGACAATGTCAATGACAATACAAAGATGCAGTTCTGCCATCGTGTGAACTACTCTTCACCAACCAACTCTTATCAATTGCTGATTCTTATGCCTTATCGCGAAATCAATGAGAAAATCAATTGCTCAATTGAAAATCAATTAAATGTCGGAATAAACAAATTCGCAATACGTATATTTGACGACTGAGCTAGTTGACTGTGACTGTCTCAGGACGTTAGACCGTTACTTGGCCGCAAGTGGTAATGAATGACACTGTTTGTAAGCGGCATATTACGAAGGAGCCGCCGAGGATTCGCCAATCAGCCAAAAGAGTTTACGATATGCGAAATTAGATGACGTGATGAGGATAGCGAGACATGTCTTTTTACGCGGGCCACTACTCGAGCTCCTTCGAGTGGCTCTTCATCCTTAGGCTGGGCCCCCCGCCGCTACCGCTGCCGCCACCGCTGCCGCCACCGCTGCCGCCACTGCGGCCACTGCCGCCACTGCCGCCACTGCCGCTACCGCTACCACCACCTCCCCCTTCCGATACCGCTGCCCCTCCTCCCCCGACCGACAACATCGACAACATCGTGCGGAGACCTTGAAGGAAGGTGCACATGTACCTGCGCCGAGCTGCCCATTTAAAAAACCTACCTTGTAACTTCTTCTCGGTCTCCCAAAACTTCTGCAGCTCGGTGAAGTACTTGTCCAAGATGAAGACCTTCGAGAGACCCAAGGTGGCCATATCTCAGCGCAGCCAGCCAACCCCGAAGACGCCACGGAACGATCGTGCGTAGCTCCTCGGATTGCGCGGCCCCGGATGCAGCGCAAAGCCGACGGTCGGGAATATCACTGCGAGCGGATCACGACAGAGTTTCTCCGTGCACTCTCGGCGCACTCGTCGCTGCACTCGCGCATCTTCATCGCCGATAAATACGTACCCGCGTCTCCGCTCCAACTCAACAGGCGATCGGCATGACGCGGCAAAGGTCACATTTTACCGCGGCTCCACGGGGACGGAGACCACTGTTACACGGGCTCGTGCGAGGAAAGCGCTGTCGAGGAGGCGAAAACCAAGCTCCAGAGGCCCTTTTCACGGCGTACTGCACGGAACGTGACGACATGCAACGCGAGAGGCACGGGTAGCCGTGCTGAACTGGAAGTCATTGTCGGCGAGGCAGAATCGACGGCCGCCACCGCCGCCGCCACCGCCGTCGCCGTCGCTGCTGGCCCAGAGAAAGAGCGCGACGAAGACGGAGCTAAGAGGGGCCCTACGTCGCGCTCTCTCTATCTCTCTCTCTCTCTCACACACGCGCGCGCGCGCGCACGCACACTCCCTCGTCCCCGCCTCCTTCGCCCGTCTTCTCGCCGAGCGTCGTTTACTTGGGGCCTTGTTGAGCGGGACGCCGCGGCGGGGAGGGAGACGAGAAAGAGACAGAGCGGACCGCCGGGCAAGATCGAGTCGGGAGTTAGCGAGACTCACTCGGGTCGCCTATCTCGATCCTTTCATTTCACCTAAACAAGTCTGAGAGAGAGAGAGAGCCGATAGGCAAAGAGAGAGGGAGATCGTAACTGGTGAGCGGATGCTGCAGAAAAAATCAGGCTTTAAAATTTCTCTCCATCTTTGTTACTCCCGCCAACTGTGTATATCCTCCTCCGCCTCCTAACCATCCCTTCTCACACTCATTCTCTATCGTTCTCTCTCTCTCTCTCTCTCTCTCTATATATATATATATATATATATCTATCTATCTATCTATCTATCTATCTCTGTCTCTCTCTGTCTCTCTCTCTCTCTCTATTTATCTATTTATCTATCTATCTATCTACCTATCTATCTATCTATCTCTCTCTCGAAATGTCTGCACAGGTAGAAAATAAGGTTTTAGGTAAATCCAAGTGCAATTTCTATTTATTCTTAATATTTTCAAATTTCCCGCTAAAACGTATCGTTAACAAAGAGATTGGAAACAAAAGAGTCTGTTCCTTAGAAAGTGGAAATTAGTATACTGATTATAATGTTGAAGAGAATAATTTAATAATAATAGTAATTGAAGGGGCTTAGTTTATTTAAACAAGAGTTTTAAATGCATGTAAACGTTATTTGAAATATATATATATATATATATATATATATATATATTTCAAATAACGTTTACATGCATTTAAAACTCTTGTTTAAATAAACTAAGCCCCTTCAATTACTATTATTATTAAATTATTCTCTTCAACATTATAATCAGTATACTAATTTCCACTTTCTAAGGAACAGACTCTTTTGTTTCCAATACAATACTTATAAAAGTCAAAATCTTTTTGAAGTAATAAAAAATGATTGTCGCTGTTCAATTATTATTCTATACAAAAATAAATCTATAATAATCTGTGATTCACATACACATAGACATGGTAATAATAATTACCCGAATTTATTTTTCTCGTCAACTTTTAATGTGTATAACGATGTGTTCATTATTAAATAATGCACCTACGTTAAAAATTTCCTAAAAATCTTGTAAATAAAAATGATCAAACTTAGATGAACAAATTTATTCATTTTTTTGCGCATTACCTTCACGATTTCAAATGTTAATTAAGAGTATGCAATTACCGATTAATATGATGTATTCGTTACTACGTACCTCCATATTTCATACATGTTCTTGTCATAATCGTAATAAGATTGTTTTACATCAATAAATTGTTGATCTAATCCAATATTTTATTTTGAATTTTATTATTTTATATATTGTCATAAAATAAATATTAAAATTAATCTCTATCGTAAAATATCTTAATATAAATTCTCAACGATATTATAATGAAAGTTTGTGTTTTTTTTTTTTTTTTACTTAAAAGGAAATCGATACAATAATATTAGTGATCAATGAGTTTAGAAAATCCTTTAAATGCTGCATGTAAATAGAATCTAATGGCAGTCTCAGTTTTACCGGTATAATGTATTGGCCATTTAATACATTAACCATAGATTGCCACGTGTAGAAAAATTATTTATTAAAGATATTATTCAACATGCGAATGAGTTTGTAAATAAATTTAAGCTAATTTAATTTTTTGTAAGTATAATAATATAGATAGCGCCTCGAAAAGTAGAGTTCGCATTAAAAATTTTAACTTCCCTATGGATTTAGACAACATCTATTTAATTAATAACTCATAATATAAACGAAAGAAGGTAACGATTTTAGAAAAATAGTAATTTAATTTGAAAAGCAATTACATTTCCAATTATCGGTATAATGCTAATGTTACTTAGAATACTAGAACATGGATTCTAAAATAATCGATAATTAAATTTCAACAAATAAAACACGCAATGAAAAATTATAATTCGTAAAAAAAAAGGAAAGATAATGTATTATTTGAAGCGACAAGAATTATGCTAATTAACAAACAAATGCATTTTGTTCATGCAAATTACTTTCTAACAAGCAATCGTTTACTATTGTAGAAACGTATCGTTCGAGAAACTCATTCGAGTAAAATGATCGTTTGCCTGAAAATAATCGTCGGTCTTGAAGTAGTAAACTGCGTTTAACAAATAAAATCGTTATTTTGCATGTAATTTGTAACATGTTGGCAATTACGTAAGAGGGAGTAATGCCGCTAATAAACGGTACCGGAAAAACTCTCATCAAAATAGACTGTAAGCAATAAGAAAAAGTACCGTGATGCTTTGAAGACACGGCCGAAGGAGAATTACGAGGTCGTGCGGTGCGTGATTGCCCCTCCGATAATTTTCAATTAAATACTCACTTGCTCAGAGGATCAGACAGACATGCTGAAGTGTGCTTCGACTTCCACTTGTGCGCGTGCGTACGTAAATACACACGTGGATGATATCGGTGTCCAATGAAACCCAGATTTGCCTGTTTTTAGAATCAGTAACGACGGTCCGTTATACTAAAGGCCAGTTTCTCCTCCTCCGCTCGCATCTCATTCTCTCTCGGTCCATCCCACTCCTGTCTTTTCTCCTCGCACGATCACACACACGCGCACACACACATACACACACACACACCGCCCTTCCTTCTGTCTTTCTCGGTATCTCGCATAGAAACATCCTGCTGTACTCTTAAACTACAGGATTCACACACCGAAGAATTAAACTGAATCTTTTTACATTTCATACATTTTCAAACAAAATAAAACAAAACGGAAAGCAGACAACACACATTTGTAGATATATGTATATCCACCTTTAATTATCAAATATATTTTGAATGGATAAACAATTTCTTGTAATAATTGCTAATTTTACTTAAATATTACATGTGTGCCTATTTAAAATCCTATCTCAGTGATTTCTTATTAAAGATTATATTAATCCATCACGCAAGTGCTCCTTGACGCTTTTTCATCGTTGCCAAAGTTAATTGTATTTGGTTTGTTTGATATTCTGTTTTGCTTCTCATATATTAATAATACAATGCTCTAATCTGTGGCTCATTTAAATTAAATAGGAAAAAGAAAGCAATTATTTATTTATTTACGTACGTTCGTATAACAGATGAAGTAAAAACAAATATTGTTACCCAATATCTATAAAAGTCATCTTCTTCGATATATCTTAATTAAACTTTCTAATTAACCGAAAAACAGCCATGAGTATGAATTTTTGAATTCATCCTGTTCAGTTTAAGATATTTCAACATATTCATAATATAGTTTAAGCGATTTATTTATCAATTTACTAATTATCTATGAATGCGCGAGATAACGAAATATTTATTAAGATCCGTAATGGTCCATGTCTTAGCCATGATATTTGTAAATAGTAAATCACTCAATGTAGCGAATTTTTTTTTTTTTTTTTTTTTTCAAATAACTTTATAAAATGCATCGTAAATATGTACTTTAATCTGTTATATTTGATAGTTTGTAATATTTGAGTAATGAAATTCCTTGTCAATCTAATACTGATTTAACGATGGTTAACTTTTTCATTGCCTTGTAATGTATATATAATTGTAACAAATAGTAATTGGAGAAGATAAAACGTTCTTCAATTTATTTTTGAAACAAATACCATACATTCTTTTTATAATTTAAAAAATTTTATCAAATAAAAAAATTTAGTAAATAAAACAAAGCATTGCAAATAAAATTACGCTTTACAATATTATAAAATTCATTTAGATTATAAAAATTGAATAAGAATATTAATGCTATGACATTGTCGTATAATATTTAAAATATTAAAAAAATTTATTTGTTTATCCTCGTTTAAATATTTCGTTGCACAAGCTTCTAACATAAATACATTAACAATGCAATTAATTTAAAATGTTTTATGATGAAAGAGGGATTTTAAGTATCAATTGTAAACAATGATTAATCTTGATAGTACAGTTTCATTATTAAAGGTTTCATTCTTGTTAAAATCATTGTATAGGTATAAAATTCAATTAAACTGCCCATCAGTTATTAAAAGAAAAATTAAAAATATCAAATATCCTCGTAATACCGAATGTAATTTTTCTCAAAGTAAACAAGATTTCCGTGACAGAGAAAAACGCGTGTATACGATGCAGTATTAAAAAAGGGAAAAAAAAATTCAATTCACTAAAAAGGGGATACGTGATATCTTTACATTGAAGAAAAGAGAAGAAGTAATAGTAGTGCATAAAAGAAAAAAAGCAAGAATGAAGAAAAACACCGAAAAGGAAGATCCGGGCTTTCAAGTAAATAATGTGAAGTTTAAAGAACCGTGGCCAATATTCACGTCTCGTTTCTCTCCTTATAAAAACTTCTTTTTGAGCCGATCGAGATGCATCTTGCGCATCGATCTACCACGCGCATCTCTCTGCTATGGCGCCATATTTAAAATCACTCACGGATGCGACCGTACACGCGCGCACGTCTCATGTATGTGTGTGATCATCTTCGGATCCTCAAGAGGGTGCGTTCTCTCGTCTCTACCTTATAAAGTTGATTTACAGGCGCGAGAATAGGACGAAGACGGAGATTGCGTGGGTGGATAAGAGAGACAGAAGGCAAATTCAAGATGGCTACTAAATCCGTTCTTGTCGCGTTGTAGAAATTGTCATAAACAATATCTCTTGCTCTCTCCATCCCTCCCGCGCTCTCTCTCCCTCCCTCTCTCTCTCTCTCTC